GAGCACTTCTAAAGTCAAGAGACAGTGGCTTATACGCATTCCAGGAGGAGCTTCAAGAGTAAGCCGCCCAGGAGTGGGTGCTGGCGGGGCTGAGGGAGGCTTTGGAACTGCCGGGACCTCCTTCTCCCATGACTTCTTTCATTTCAGGTGATTTTCGGTATTGAACAGGAAGTGTTAACTCCTCCCTTCCATCGTAGGTGTTCACGCTGAACCTAGAGTTTATCAGACCTCAGAACTCACACCATTTGCCATGGTTCTGTCTCGCAAAATCATTGATCTGGTGTTTATTGACCTAGGTCCCAAAAACACCCCAGAACGTGCCCTGCTGTCCCCAAGGAAGCCTTCAGGCAAAGCCATCCTGGGGGTCCCATGCCTGTTTCCCACAATCTGTGATGTTTGTTCGGCTAACATTTCTGAGTTGAGTTAAACTGCCAAAGAAGTGAATGGCTCAGAAATCTTCCCATACAGTTTGTGCCTTGCAAACAGTGTCCCAGTGCTGGTGCAGTGTTGTGGGTGGGTAGGGAGGAAACCTGCCACTTGGGGACCAGAGGTGGCACCGGGCACTCGGCTGACAGGGCCTATCAAGGTGAAGGTGATGGATGGGTTTGCATAAGGGAGGTGGTGATTTTAATAAGGATTATCTGAGTTAGCTCTGAATAACCAGCTGCCTGTCTCCACAGGGAGCACCATTTGACGTAAATGAAGACAAGGACAATGATCGAGACTGAAAGAGAGTTAATTGAAAAGGAGTAGCGAGCTCTGATCTGCAGATTGAGCTCCTTAGTAGGATTCGGGTAAGCCAGAGTGAGTCAAATGATTTTACATGCAGCAGTGTCCCTGGGAGACTCGGACGCCATAAATTGATTGACCTCAAGTCAGGAAAAGGCCAACATCACAGCAGCTCAAAGGGTGTTAGTTTCCTGGGGATGCGTCTCTTAATTGCAGTGTTCATTAAAATGATGCTTCCCCCCACTTTAGAGCTAGACATGCTTTTAAAAAAATATCAAAGGAAAGGAGAATGAAAGAATGGGATGTTCGGTGTTTGACCCTTTTTCATCTTCCAGCCAAATGTCTCAGCCTTTGGATTGAAAGAAAAGAAGTTTGGTTGAGGACCTGTTTCTCTATTAATTCTCCTAGGAACCAAGAATTAATAAGCATCTGTCTGAGCTAAGCCAGGATTGATTTGGTCTTGATGATTATGAGCTACATACCATAGATTCTCTTTCATGTAACTCAAATCTCTGCTCAAGAGACAGGCTGTGCAGGACCACCACCCCATCCACGTTAGTGCCCCTGTCATTTTCTATCCATCCTGTCCCCGATGCATTTTTCTTTATGCTATTTAATATGATGTAATTATATTACATACTTACTTGCTTTTCTTTCTACCCTGGATGGCTGTGACCTGCATGAAGGCAGGGACTTTGTTTAATTTACTACTGTGTCTTCAGTACCTAGAATAGTGTTTGGCACTGCTAAAATGAATGACCAAGTACCCTGGGCAAGAATTTTCATGTTTATTTCTAGTATGCTGTATTCACTTTTTTTCTTGTTTGGAAAGCCATTTTATCATAGATTTTAAAGTTCTTTTATGATGAAACAATAATGACAAAGAGATAAAAGTACCACTGGCAATGAACAACAGGAAAGCTAGTCATAATGGGGAGAGAAACACCGAAACTTAACAGCTGAAGAAATAGAGTGTCACAGAAATAAGCAGCCTAAATATAAATATACCACAATGATTTAGGTGGAGTGAACTATGTAGGAGCTGTAGCATAAATTTCATCATACAGTTGGTATGTATGATTCTGTTAGATTGATCAACTCTGATAAATGAACTCTGTGACTAGCCATGACTTTTTTTTAATTGAAATTTTTATTGAGATAATTACAGACTCACATGCAGTGGTAAGAATGAGTAAAGAAAGATCCTGGGAGCCCTAATGCCGCAGAGCTGGTCAAGTACCCTGTGTCTTAAGGGCAGAGCCACACTGTTAATTTTTAAGAAATGAAAAGGGGAGAATTCTGGTCCAAGATGGCCTCAGAGGAGGCTCCTGAGCTCTCCTCCTCCCGTGCACACAAAATCTACAGCTACCCATGGAGCAGTTCCGTCTAAAAGAAAGCCAGAAACCAGTTGAGCAACTCCTACATGTCATAAATGAGAAAATACCCATGTCGAAAAGGGTAGGAAAGGCTGGGCTGCACTCTCGCTCTAAACCCCACCCTGGGCACAGGGACCTACAACTGGGTTGGAATTTACAACTCCCAGCTTCTCCCTGAGGAGTGAAGGGTTTGGACCCAACGTGTAGCATCCCAGCTTTTAAGACTGCCACCTTGAGGCTTGTTTCCCAGCTCAGAAAGCCAGCAGGACCTGGCATCTCAGAGACTCACAAGACCATAACAAACTAAGAAACAGTTTTTAAAGGTCTCACTGTAACTGTCTACCCTCCTACCACCCCTCCAGAACTCAGCACAGATGGATCAGACCAAAAACCCTCCCTGTGTCTTTCCCTGAAAGAGGCCTTTTCATTCCTTGGAAGCTACTGCCTGCGGATCAGGCTGCTAATTCGGCACCCAAGTAGGGGCTGACTGAGCTCCTCCCCCAGACTGGGGAGCCCGGAGGGTGAGCACCATCTCTGAGTGAGCTCTCTGGCCCACTCTAGGATGCTGCTGTCTCCACCATGTTTGCCAATAATGACTGCTATTTTAAAAATCTATGATCATTGGTCATTTTCTTTTTAATGTGTTGGTGGGTTTTTTGTCTCTTTGTTTTAGACCAGTGTTTCTCAGCTCTTGCTGTCTATAATGCTTGAGTCCCTGATTGAGTGACTCACTCCCCAGGCAGTTCTGATGATCAGCCACGGTTGACAGCCACTGTTTGGGGCTAGGATGGTAGCTGATGCAGGAACAAACTGCTGAGAGACTGATTTGGTTCAGGAGCTCATAGTAAAGGATGACATCAAATCAGAACAACCACCCAAATAGCCAAATCAGCTGATAAATATTACTTATTGAGCTTTGCAGATAATCAAGGCTCACTGTATTTCCCATGCCATTATTTCAAAGCACTGTCTGTCAGAGAGCTGGCGAGTCTGGACAATGCAGCCTGGGTGCGAAGTCCTGAGTCCCTGCTTAGAGTCACAAGCTTAGTGTGCATCTGAGTTATCAGGAATAGATGCATAGCTTCTTGGCAAACTAGGCATATTGTGTGTGTGTGTGTGTGTGTGTGTGTGTGTGTGTGTGTGTGTGTGTGTG